CTTTCTTCTTGACCAGAATAATTGGGGAAGAGAATGAACTACTGCTAGGTTGGATGATACCCTTTTGCAACATGCCTTCAACCAACTTTTCAATTTCCTCTCTCTGGCTGTGAGGATATTTGTGTGGCCTCACTTTGACTGGGTTTAACCCTTATAACAATGGAATTGAATGGACATGAGATCTGGGTGGAGGTAAACCATTGGGAGTATTGAAGATTGTGCTATAAGTGTGCAATAAGAGGGTTAATTCTGGTTCCATGTCATCAGACAATTCTAACAATGGAAATGAGTGTATATTGGCAGTGTAAATACATTCCCCTATGCTTGCAGTGTCAACTACTGAATCAAACCTTCAAATTCCATGTAGTTACCATTGTCCACCATCACTTTAAACAGTGGGGCCTTCTTAATTGGAAGTTTCAGAAATTTAGTCACTATAGGAAGTTATAAGAGCTACCTCCATTAATCAATACTTTTACAGGCATGGTTCCCACCTGAGCCATGAATTTAATAGTACCAACTCCTAAGCCTCCTTTTAAGGAATTGAGGAACAAATGATGATCATCAATCAATGGTAATTCCAGTTCTTTAGACTCTTCAACATGACTTTTAACATGGTCAGAATCCTCATCTCTTAATTGTAATACATACAACTGTTTGTTAGAGCACTTGTGGTTGAAGGAAAACTTCTCATCACAGAAGTAATAGACATTTCTCTCGTCTCAATTGCATTTCTGTTGGGCTTATCCTTTTCACATTAGAATTTTCTAGTTGTGGTCTTGGAGGGGTAGTTAATAAAGGTGGTAGGGTGGTCTTTGTATTTGGTAAGGTGTTTTTGGGAACAATTTTGGAGGTTGAAGTGATATACGAGCTAATGAAGGGTGGATGGTTATATTAGGTTGGGTAATTAACATTGGATTTCTGGTTAGGCATGTATTTTTCTTCATAGCTTAGCTAAAACAACAACTCTTAATAAATTTGGCGGGGAAAATGCATTCACATCACACTTAATATCAACCTTTAAGCCACTTATAAAACAATTCAGTAATGCTTCCTCAGTCAATCATTCAAATTTGTTAGCAAGAGACATAAATTTCAAATAATAATCCGATGCTAACCCATTTTGTTGAAGTTTAAACAAATCTGCCATTAGACAATCAAAGGGAGAAGAACCAAATTGAGATTCTAAGGCTCGTATTAGTGTTGACCAAGTTGTAACTATCTCGATCTTCTGGAACCACGACACTAGGTCCTTTTCAAAATGCACATATGCAATTTCAACATGATCTGCATCTGGTGTATTGTGATAATTAAAGAATTTGTCAGTCTTGTATATCCATTCCAATACTGACAAAGAGTCATCATAATGTGGAAAACTAATGGAAATGTCCTTGATCGGTGAAACCATCGTGATCGAAACTTTTACCGTTGAATTTGACTTTGAGGGATTCCATGGGTGTGAGAAGAATTTTGCAACAATTGTTGTAAAGACAACTAGATCCTCCATCGAGCTTCCTGAGCATAAGTATTAGCTTCCATCGTTTTTTGAAGTTTTTCACCGTTGTAGCCAAATGACGAATATCATTTGCGATAGTGCGAATCTCCGGTTGCATTTCCTTCATTCTAGTGTTTTCTGCCATAGAAGTCAACGAGAGCACCAATGTAATAGTGCTAAAAATTTAGAAATTTAAATGATCACTCTTCAATTATTACTTCAAACAATCGAAATTAAATGTCAACACAAACATAACAATTAATAAATGAAAAACTATAGTCACACATCAACTACAGTAATCATTCTATTATTGATTAGAAGGAATTCAACAAGAGATCCATTCCTAAAATAGCAAAGAACAAATGGAATTCAGGACAAGATTTAAATCTAGAAGATGTAAGAGAAAAACTATTTTGCTCAATAAACTCTCTGCCACTACAAAGTCTTTCTTCACACTTGTTACATTGCTACATCCAACATAATTTGTTATCAATTCTTTATTATTAGCATATGCTAACACGTGGTCTTGGATTCTATTTTGCTAACCATGTAGCATAACACAAGTGTCACGTATATCGTGCCATCATATATTAACACGTGCCATCATATATTAACACACAAGTCATATACACTTTACTTTTAAAAAGATTTACATAAGATTGATTTCAATTCAAAAAATTCGGTCACTAAGAGAATATTTTCAACATAGATATGTAATTGGTGTTGATATTTTAGGATTGTGAACATTTATTTTTTGATATAAAAAATATATGATATAATGAAACTTCTTAATTTTTGTTACGGGATCTTTTCATCTACGAGATTATAGTATTAAGAAAATTTTATCACTTATATCTCAACTTAATATTTTTTTTATTAGAAACCAATATATTAACTTTCACTTTACATAACGGGTATAAGATTCATATTTTCCTCTCACATCTCATATATTTAACATAAATAGGTTTTTTTTTGGTTATTTATAATTTTTTTTCAAATCATTCGTATATACAATTATTTATCTCATTTAACTAATATCAAGTAAAATATTTAGATTTATAACTTAAAAAACTTTTTCTTTGTACAAGTTCATATTTTTAGATTAAAGTTAAAATTTGCACGAGAAATCCTTTGCTTATTGATGTCTTTTATTTGAGAAAAAAATATTATTATCATAAAAAAATAAACTTGAAGTCATCTTCCAATCTTAAAATAAGTAAGTTGAATAAATATTATAAAAATAATTATTCTATATAACTTTATAAGATAATGTCCATCTAAATTAAATAAAGCAATCAACTTTACATAGAACAAAGTTACGTCTATAAATTCAAGTATATATTTTGTGACAAAGTTAACTCAATAAATTTAAATATACTGAAAAATCAAATTAGTAGCTGTCTTTACTTTACTTTAAACTTTTTTTCATAATTTTTTTTTTAATTTCGCACTTCAAAGGTCAGTTCAAACTATTTTAAATATTTTCTCTCGTATGATCTTATTAAATATTTTAATAAAATATAGTCTTTTATTTTCTAAAAATATTAAAACATGCTTAAATCTTAACAAAATTAGAAATTAAGTTTTCTTAAAGAGAAATTAAAAAATTTAAATTTTTTAAAAATTAGTAACTTTTAAAAATACAAATCTCTATTTAAATATTTTTAACTAAAAGTAAAATCTTTAAATTTTAATCTATTTAATTATCGGTTTTCTTTCTCTCAATTCTTACACAACTATTTAAAAAATTAACACTTAACTAAATTTAAGTTTGATTAATAATGTGCTATTTGAATTTTTTTCAAAAATTCTCCAATAAATTATTATTTATCTTTATCTTTTTTCTTAATTTTTTATCTCTTTTTAATATTTATAAATATTAATTTTTTTAAAATATTTAAAAATATTCATTAAGTGAATTAAATTTAATAAAATAATCATATATCTAAATTAACCTAAAATATTTATTTAATGTGTTCTTCTATTAGAAAAAACATACATAATTTTTTAATTTTAAATAAAACCTTATATATATATATATATATATATATATATATATATATATTTACAAAGACATTTTTAATTTAATATTATACAATTCAAGTTTCAAATATTAAAATAATATGATAAATCTAATAGTTTAAACTCGATGAACTAAAATATGCAAATTAGTGAACAATAAAAAATTAGATATTATTATTTGGAGGTGCATGTTCATTTATATTATAATTTTTATTTAAATTAGTAGAAATACAAGTAGTTGCATTTATGGGTCCATATTTATTATGGGTCCATATTTATGTATTGAGCTATTCTTTTAAATAAAATATGTTAATATAAAATAATAATATAATTATTTTATGCAATTTTTATATTTTTTATTAAATCATATAACTATTTAAAAAATATATTGTTATGTTATTTTTTATCAGTTATATATAACGGTTTACATTTTTATATCTAATTCATTGTTTATATTTTTTTATAATTATTTTTTAAAATATTTTATTTCTTTAATTTTCAAATGTCCTCAATTTTTTCAGTAATTATATATTATATTTTTAAATATATGTACCAGTTTTTACATAGTAAATCATAATACTTATTTTTTTTAAACTATGATATTTTTATTTTTTCTATTATAAAAAAGAAATCTCATTATTATATAATTATAGATGCAATAAATGTTTTTTTGTTTCTTTTTATAATATCATAATAACTATTTTTTATATTTTTTCATAATATAATAAAAATAACTAATTTTACTTATAAAGTATGAAAAAAAACTTAAAATAAAAATACTGATCTAAATAATAATTCTATCTAAGCAACAACACTCTAAAAAAATAGCTTTGGGTAAATAATAAAATATATGAGCAAAAACTTTTAACATTTCCTGCTTATTTTTATCCATGTTTCACCGTCCTCTGCTGTTAAAATTAATTTAAATACATGTTTAATTTCATCAAATTAGTTATTAATTTTATCAAACATATAAAATTTAAACAAGATATCATAAATAATTTCTGCAAAACAAAAAAACACAAATTCACACACATTAAAATTAATTTACGTGTAATTAAGTTGAAACTGAACTGAACTAGTTTATCTAATTGTTTAATAATAAATTATTTTTATATTATTAAAAGATTCTTCAAGAGAATAAATACTTTTCATGAATAATATTAATTTCTCCCAAATATTACAAAATAAATTGATCAAAAAGCAAAAATCAATTATAGTTTCGGAAAGAACCTAGAAATTGAAAATCGACCGCAAACTAATGCGTTTCTAGAACTTTCGACCAAGATCGAGATGCTACTACATCTATAATACCATCGCCCCTGATTATATAAACATTCTTCCACGCCATCATCAAGCTCAACCTCAAAATCCAAGCACAATTTCTGAGTTGTTTGATAGATAGAGCATAATATATTAGAAAGAGTGCGAATCAACCGCAAAACTGAAGAGAAAGAGAGTCGAGGAAGGGCAAACTTCGTCGATGGGTGTGGATTACTACAAGGTCTTGCAGGTTGATAAGAACGCCAAAGACGATGACTTGAAGAAGGCTTATAGGAAACTTGCTATGAAATGGCACCCTGATAAAAACCCCAACAACAAGAAAGAAGCTGAGGCTAAGTTTAAGCAGATTTCCGAAGCATATGAGGTATGTTTTAGTAAGGGATTGTAAATCTTTTTGTCTTTTTATGGAAGTAGGATTGAAACTATGAAACTCGATGAAACATTGCATATGGGTTATGCTTATAGTGTGATCAAAAAAATTCCTCGGTGTTGCAAAGTTTTGAGCTTTTTCTGATATTAGAAGTGAGATAGTGAAACTCAGTGAAATATTTCATCTGGTAATGTTTCTAAGGTTTTTCCATGAGAGTGTTGCAAAATTTTAAGCTTTTTTTCTGACTTCGGAGCGAAACAGTGGAATCCATTAAAGAGTTTTATTGTATGGTGGTGAAGCTTACTTAGATGTTTATATTGTTGTTGAAGGTTCTTAGCGATCCTCAAAAGAAGGCCATTTATGATCAATATGGAGAAGAGGGTCTGAAGGGTCAAGTTCCTCCTCCTGATGCTGGAGGTGCGGGAGCTACTTACTATTCCACTGGAGATATACCGGGATCGTTTCGGTTCAATCCTAGGAACGCCGATGACATTTTTGCCGAGTTTTTTGGGTTTTCAAGCCCATTTGGTGGAATGGGTGGGAGAGGAGGCGGCGGTGGCGGCATGAGATCAAGGTTCCATGGTGGGATGTTTGGGGATGATATGTTTGCATCTTTTGGGGATGGAGGGGTACATATGAGTCAAGGTGTACCGCGGAAAGCTCCTCCCATTGAGAACAGATTGCCTTGCACTCTTGAGGAGATATATAGAGGGACCACAAAGAAGATGAAGATCTCTAGAGAAATTGCTGATGCCAGTGGGTGAGTAGATTTTATTACCTGGCTATTTATTTCTTCTTCTATATGTATTTTTGAGGGTCTTCTAGTTTTCTTAGTTGTTGTTGTTGTGTTTGTGACATGATCTCTAATATGTCTGTTGAGCTTTCAATTCCGGGGGGTTTAGTAAAAGCATACATTGATCCCTAAGAAGATACTAATCGATACTATAAAATACCGCAGTATGCTATTTTCACTTATGTTGAGTGCTTGACATGAAATGTTACACTTGAGAACTAAAGCTTGATAACTGGCTGTTCTTCTGAATGCTACTTAGCTATTGACTGGTTTCCTTTATATCTCTATACATCTATTTCGTCTTCTGTATTCGATGTGCCTTGATTGGTAGGTGTTTTAGTTTACACGATGTTTAATGCATAGACGTGTCTTGTTATTCTGTGCCATTTGAACTTTGTTTGAAGAAGAAAATTGACGACTATTTGTTAGATTTATTTTATTAGCTACTTGAATATGAAAAGATACTTTGTACTTTGAAACATCCTGCTGTATAACCTTTCTGTACAGTAAAGTTTTTACAACCTCTGATTTTTGTGTTCAAGACATTCTTTACTTGTTTACTGATGATTCAGAATTGAAGGGAAACAATGTTTTAATTGCGGAAGGGTATATACAAAACTTTCTGGGTTTTAACTTCTAAATCTAAATTAATGAAAATTACTTTAGCTAGTCTGTGAATTGTATTGGATGGATGGTGGTAGTGAATGTTATATTGGTGTTATGTTTCAGTTCATTAATTACATACTTGTGGTACTTACTGTTATTCCCAGTAGTAAATTTAAGCTTGAAATAATCAGGGGTGTTGATCTAACAAATAAGTAGGTGTTTGGCAAATTGCTGAACTTCTACTCCATGGTCATGGTATTGTTAATCTGTTATGCTAACATAGCTAAATTTATTTATGTATAAATCCCTGTTCTGGAAAACTGTTGTTGCATTCTAAATTCTTTTAAGCAATGTCTTTACATATTGTAATCTAACAACTAAACTTGTATAGTTATGATGTGGATTTCCATAAAATTAATGTCTGGTAATTAGGATTGTTCTTGTAAAATTTTGTTGATGTTCTCAAAACTGGGGAGGGTACATGCACTAAACTTCTATTCTCTTTCCTTTTGATTACCAAATATCTCCAAGGCTTATCAATGCATAATATTTTTTATCAGAATGTACGTTCAGTTTCTTCTTCTGTTATGAAAATTGCTTGTTAATCTTCAATGTATCTCAAGCCGATATCTGACTGTTTCTCTTGTGGTGCAGCAAAACCATGCCGGTGGAAGAGATATTGACAATTACTGTCAAGCCTGGTTGGAAGAAGGGAACAAAGATCACCTTCCCTGAAAAGGGAAATGAACAGCCAAATGTGACCCCTGCTGATCTCGTTTTCATCATCGATGAAAAACCACATGGCGTCTATACCCGCGATGGAAACGACCTTGTTGTCACTCAGAAGATATCACTTCCAGAGGCCTTAACTGGTTATACAGTGCACCTCACCACCCTGGATGGCAGAAACTTAACCATACCCATTAACAATGTTATTCATCCCACTTATGAAGAGGTTGTCCCAAGAGAAGGCATGCCACTTCCAAAAGATCCATCAAAGAAGGGAAACTTGAGGATAAAGTTTAATATCAAGTTTCCAACTAGGCTCACTGATGAGCAAAAAGCAGGAATCAAGAAACTCTTGGGTGCCTAAGCCTGAGATAGTATAGTTAGTATTTTGTCAGATTTCTCTCTGAGAGCTACGTTTATGAAGATGTAAGATATTAACAAACATTGTTATTTCTGTATGTGTTGTGTTTCAGTGAAATTTTTCTTATTTGATTCTTTTTGTATGGATTATAAGTTGATGTGCATGGTTTTTCTTGTTATATTTAGCAGGGATCAACTATGATAGGATTACAAGCTCGAAATGGGGTACTTACTAGATAATGTTCCATATCAATTATTGTTGAATGGGAGAAGAATAATCAAACATTATGAGCATCAAAATCATGTAAAGGGTATTGTCATTTCCTCAGGGATTTAGTTGTTGCCTCACCAGCTCTACATAATCTCACAAATGAAGCATCTCCACGTTATTGAACATTTTATGATGACATGGCTTGTATTCACTCCCTAGTCTCGAAAAAGAATTATATAACACTACATTCTTTATTTTACCCAAATACCTTTATCATTTTCACAATAGTTCATGGTCAAAGTATGCAGGGGACGGATACTTGCCATCACAATTTCAATTTTCTTATCCTTTTCAGACTCCAACTTATGCTGTGAAGTGTAAAAGATGCATGGATAAAGTTGCAAGATCCTTTGAGTCATAACTGTTTATGTAAATAGAGCCCATGGAAAGTACAGGGACTTCCTGACAATGCTTCTGGTTGTGTATATAATATATTTTTTATTCTGAATTTTCTACACCCTGCAAAATGCAGAATTTTAACATATGAATATATATATATATATATATATATATATATATATATATATATATATAATAAATAATTTAAATATGTGAGGGTTATTATTTATTAAGCTAAATAATTTTTAGTTAAATTAAAATTTTGGTTAAATCGTATGTGTCATGAAAAATAAATTTATATAGAGATTATAGAGTAATTTTTAATTTCATCGTGGTTAGATTAGAAATATTAAAATTTAAATAATTAATATAATTCTGGTTATTTAAAGGGTTATGGTTCTTTTTTTAGAACACATAAAATATATAAAATATAAGTTTCATTTTCTATTCTTTTTATTTCTATCAAGAGAAAAAATTCGAAGGAAAATAAAGGTACTCTTTAAGTGAAAGATCATAAGATTAATAGTGTTCTAAATAGGAAATCATCATTATAGTTAATTCAGATACGTTTTCACATTCAGTTTACAACATGTTTATGATTATGAGATAATGTTTATGTTTAATTATTATAATCAAAATTAGGATCATAATTATTAGTTTTCTAACAATTGGTATTAGAGTTGTTCATATTTGATTCATGTTTGTTTTAAGAAATATTTAAAAATTTAGATTCCATTTAATTTATAAAATCTCAATTTTTGTGAACTCTAAATTTAAATTTAGGGATAATATCCTCCAATCTGATTCTGTTCGCTGATGAAATCATGGAGAAGATCCTAATTTTTATCCGAACGCACTAATCCATTGTGTTATGCGATCCCCAAATTAGTTAATTCAAGGTTTCTTAAAAATCTAATCAATTTCATCATAAAGAGATAAAGTTTCATCATCGTAGTAGAGGAAGTTATAAATTCTTCTTCTTTGTGTTTTTTCTCTTTTGTTTCGATTTAAGTTTTACTGAGAAAGAAATAATGTTTCAAGTTTTAATCTTTCTTGTATTGGATTTTCTGTTCTCTTTGAATTTTTTGTTTTTATTTTTATTTATTTATTTTTTCTGGATTTTGTTTTCGCTTTTTTTTTCATGGTGGATATGGATGAGTTTCGAATTGGGGGAGTTCCCAACACAAAAGATCTTAGACAATTAGTGAATGTTTCCATAGGTGTGATTGTTCTTATTTTATTGCTTTTATCCTTTGGGGGTTTAAGGGAAGTTGATGTTAAATTCCTTGTTTAGGGTTTGAGTGATTACTGTTTAATCCCCTTTTAGGGTTTAGGTGGTTGCACTGTTTCTTGAGCAGTGTATTAAAGACAGTTAGAACTATCTTTGTTTCATCCCTAGTGTAATTTTAGGAAGCTGTTTATCCTTAGTGGGATTTTAATGAGGTGATTGTTTTTTGAATTAGTTTGTGTTGTTAACTCTAAATAAATAAATATTACATATTTGATTTTGTTATATAAATAAAATATTTTAGTTTAATATTTTTTGTGAGTGAATTGAGTCAAGAAGTCACTAAAGTAACCTCTCTTAAATTAATAGTTCGTGAAAATATTGAATGTTAGTATTTGTGTATATTCATACTAGTATTAGTTGGTCCAAAGGAAGATTAATATTTGACCGAATTGTATACACACTTGTAATGATAAATATGTGATAATTATAAGGATTTGTTTTGTCGATGATAAATCAATTCAAGATTGGTTTGTTGTTGGACATGTTTTATTTATCAATGTTTGATCATTACAACAAGATATCCTTAGCAGTTAATATTAATGTCCAAAGACTTGATGGTGCATTGAGTGTCTTTAGATGAGTTAAACCATTATTTGAATATATATATATATATATATATATATATATATATATATTTATAATTATTTATTTTTATAATGTGAAAATAATTAGTTTGTTTCTTTTGTTCTTGATTCAGATTACAATTGCTTATGTATCTGCCAATTTAAATTTTGTTCCGATCCTTAAAATTATGTTTCCTACTTTGATTTGTTTTGAAGTCAATTTAACGTCAATATCTAGTAACACTTGGTGATTAGACTCAAGTGCAACTACTAACATCAGTGTTTTTATGAAAGGTTTCCTAAGCTACCGGAAGTCAATTGATTCTGAAAGATGAATATATGTTGGAATGACAAATCGGTAAAGGTGGAAGTTATATGACATTTTAAATTGTCATTGAGTACTTGTTTTTATTTGGATTTGAAAGACACTTTTGTTGTGCCGTCATTTAAACCAAATTTGGTTTCAGTTTCTTATTTGGACAAATTAGGTTATTTGTATTCATTTGGAAACAATAAGTTCAGTTTGTCTTTTAATTCAAATATTGTTGGAACTGGTTCACTTTTGGCTTATGATAATCTGTATTTACTTGATATTGTGACCACCTATAATGAAACCCTTAATACATAATCACGAGATACTAAACATAAAATTGACAATACTCACTCAGGAGCATTATCACATAGGCGCTTAGGTCACATCTCTAAAAATAGAGTTGAACGACTTGTGTCAAATGGAATCTTAGAGTCCATTGACTTCACAAACTTTGATGATTGTGTTGAATGCATTAAGGTTAAACAAACCAGAGCGAAGAGATTATGTGCATATAGAGCTACAGACATCTTAGAGTTGATACATACACACATTTGTGGACCATTTCTTACACCTTCGTGGAATGATCAACAATACTTTATATTATTCATAGACGATTACTCACGATATGCATACTTATTCCGTATACATGAAAAGTCACAATCTCTAGATGTGTTCAAAACATTTAAAGCTGAAGTTGAAAATCAACTTAACAAAAGAATTAAGTCTGTCAGGTCTGATCGTGGTGGTGAGTACTATGACAGATTTGACGGGTCAGGTGAACAATGTCTAGGACCTTTTTCCAGGTACCTAGAGGAGTGTGGAATTGTCCCACAGTATACCATGTCGGGATCACTAGTATGAATGGTGTAGCTGAAAGACGAAACCAGACTCTTAAAGATATGGTAAGGAGTATGATTTGTCATTCCACCTTACCGGAGTTACTTTGGGAGAGACACTAAAGACGGCAGGTTATATTCTAAATAGAGTATCAACTAAAGCAGCTACCAAAACACCTTATGAGCTTTGGACTGGACGAAAACCTAGTCTGAAACATTTCTATGTGTGAAATTGTTCAGCTGAGGGAAGGTCTTATAAGCCAAATGAAAAGAAATTGGACCCAAACAATGAATAGTTATTTTATTGGTGATGCTGAAAGATCCAGAATAAAATTAGGAACTTTGTCTTGGAGGAAGAATCAGTAACAATTCCATAACCGATTCAAACAGTTACTTTTAATAAAGTAAGTTCGGAACCTCCACAAGACATTGTTGATGAACCCCTTACTCAAGATGATTTAATTTCTCATGAAGAACAAACTCAATATCCTCAAGAACCTGTGCATCATGAGCCAATAATTTTGCATAGATCTACTAGAGAAAGAAGAAGTGCTATTTCGGATGATTACATGATATTTCTTCAGGAACATGAGGAAAACAATAATATGATGGAAGATGACCCAGTTAACTTCTATCAAGCTATGCAAAGTTCTAACTCTGAAAAGTGGATTGAAGCAATGAAGTAGGAGTATAAGTCCATGCAAGACAACAAGGTTTAAGAACTTGTCCCATTACCAGAAGGTATGAAACTCATTGGTTGCAAGTGGATATTTAAGACCAAACAGGATTCTAAAGGTAATGTGGAAAGGTATAAGGTTTGTCTGGTAGCTAAGGGTTATACCCAAAAGGAAGGGATTGACTTTAAAGAGACTTTCTCTCCAGTTTCATCAAAAGAATCTTTTAGGACAATCATGATTCTTGTAGCACATTATGATTTGGAGCTTCATCAAATAGATGTCAAGACAGTGTTTCTCAATGACAACATTGATGAGACAATTTATATGGTACAACTAGAAAATTTTGTGCAGTGAGATCCAAAAAATATGGTTTGCAAACTAACAAAATCCATTTATTAACTAAAACAAGCATCTCACCAATGGTATTACAAATTTCATCAAGTAATTCTCTCATTTGGCTTCGAGATGAATATTGTTGATGATTGTGTGTATCACAAGTTTAAGGGGAACAAGTATATTTTCCTGATCTTGTATGTTGATGACATTCTACTTGCCACTAATGATATAGGCATATTGCACGAAACCAAGAAATTTTTATCAAAGAATTTTGAAATGAAAGATCTTGGTGATGCTTCTTTTGTATTAGGAATTCAGATACACCGAGATCGATCTCGAGGTATTTTAGGATTATCACAAAGGAGCTATATCGAAAAAATTCTTAAAAGGTTTGACATGCATGAATGTAAATCCGGGGATACTCCAGTTGTTAAGGGAGACAAGTTTAGTCTCAATCAGTGCCCAAAGGGGAATTTGGAAATTGAGGAAATGTAAAAGATTCCTTATGCATCAGCTGTAGGGAGTTTGATGTATGACCAAGTATGTACGCGTCCAGACATAGCATACATAGTTGGGGTTCTAGGCAGATATTTAAGCAATCCAGGAATTGACCATTGGAAAGCAGCAAAAAGGATAATGAGATATTTAAAGAGAACAAAAAATTATATGCTCACATAGGTTAGACTAGTTGAAGATCGCTGAGTTTTTTGACTTGGACTTTGCAAGATGTCAAGATAGTTTGAAATCCACTTCAGGTTATATTTTCATGTTGGCAGGTGGTGCGATTTCTTAGCGCAGTGTCAAACAAACTCTTAAAGTCTCATCCATTATGGCAGCAGAATTTGTAGCATGCTATGAAGCATCAAATCATGGAATATGACTGAGAAATTTTGTCACAGGGCTACAAATTGTGAAAAGTATTGAAAAACTACTTAAGTTATATTGTGACAACAAATCAGCTGTATTGTATTCCAACAACAATAGGAGCTCGATTAAGTCAAAGCACATCAACATTAAGTTCCTAATTAATTGTTAAGGAAAGAGTACAGAGTGTACAGATTTCCATAAAACACTTAGGGACAACCTCCATGATAGCAAATCCTCTAACTAAAGGACTTTCACCCAAGGTCTTTCATGAGCATGTTGCTCACATTAGTGTTTTACAGTTTGAGGAATTTGTGGTTTAGTGGGAGTTAGTGATTTTTATATATTTTATGTTCTATGTTTAATTTTATGTATGTATATATTGATTTTTTAGACATATTTAGTTATCTATAGATATGCGGTTTTTCGTTCATTCATTACACTTTGTATATTAAGGTTATTATATCGATCTTGATAAATTAAAGTTTGGACCAGTTGAAAATAGACATGTACAGATCATATTCACGTAATTTTTCATGTTACACATTTCATGATGAATACATGTCATTTGGTTATGTCAGGATTAGTAATCATTGTTGGTTTTAGTTGCGATGATGCAATGAAAAGCTGGTTTGATTCTATATCCTAATATGATTAATGAACGAGACTTTTGGAGTATGCTAAAGGAATATAATGACAATTTTAAGCTCATAAAGTCTAACATATTTGTAAGATATTGTAAGGACATATATATTTGTGACTAGTGGGAGATTGTTGGCAAATTTTGGGTCATGTATATATATGATATATAATTTAAATGTGTTAAGATTATTATTTATTAAGTCAAATAATAAAGTAATCTTACTAAATTAAAATTTTGGCTAAAGACATATGTCATGAAAATAAAATTGTGTAGAGACTATAAAATCATTTCTAATTTGATGAGGGACAAAATTAGAAATACTAAAACTTAAGTAATTAACCTAATTCCGGTTATTTAAAGTGTCATGGTCCCCCTCCGAAAGCACATACACGAACATAAGTCTCAGTTCCCGTTTCTTTCTTTCTATCCCCATCAAGAAAGAAAATCCAGAGAGAAAATAAAAGTGCTCTTCAGGTGGAAGACCATAAGATTAATAGTGCTCTAAAAGGAAAACCATCATTATAGCTAATTTCGCATTCAGTCTACAACATATTTATGAGTATGAGATAATATTTATATGTGATAATTAGAATAAAAACAAAATTATAATTATTAGTTTTCTAACATCCGTACTATTGTCTAGAGATCTTCTATGAACGATAAGTAACATAGCATTTATGTAAATAACGTTCAGCTTTTCTTTTGGTTTGAATCTTCATTCCATAACTGTGACGAGGAATCCCTTCACACAAAGTGCTTAAACTATGTACAACCTTAGCATCAATTTATGCTTGGTAATATGCATGATTCAATTTAATTAATTTCTGACAATTGAGTTAATCAATTAAATGGTTAACTAGGCCACCGGAAATTAGGCAAATATTGTTGTGCGTGTTTGAATTTAAAGTTCACAAACTCGCTTCTGGATTGGTTTTCATTTTACATGCCGAGTTTCTAAAAGGATCTATAATTTTGTTTTTATAAAATATTGGTTTCAAAAAATAAGTGTGTCAAACCTATTCTGGTTTTAAGCAACTTTCGAAAGTTACAAATATTCCCGCTGTTTTAAAACGCTAGCAAATCTACGTAGTTTCGTAATCCTTGGCAAAAAACAGGGTTTAGAACCCCGTTAATTAACCACTGTTTGAAACAACCACTAAGTCTATTACTATATCTGCACTTGTATGAAGAGAGTTTAAGGTTTGTAATCCACACAAGAAAACAAAGAGAAAGAAAGAAATCCATGCAATAACTCAGTCAAATTCCTAGTACCATGACTGACTGACTCAACCATCTCTCTGCTCAACCATTACTAACTAGCTCAACCAGATTAAATGTTTAACATACCCCTGAATTTTTAGTAATATGTGCTAGCGTGTGATTGTGTTGATTCGCTCTACCTATTTACCAAACTTATGCTCCATGCTATTGGATCATTTTAAAATCTCTATTTTGAGGCAGGATCAAGATTCATGGACACCCACAATTTTAAGAAACACCCAAAAACCACTCATTTTTACTAATTTTTTTTATTCTAAAATCAAATATTGATGGAATAATACAAAATTTTGATGTGAAAAATGGGTGTTGTTAGATGTAGATGTAATCGGAGGTGAAGATATAAATCCAATAAACTATAACAAAAAAAATCAAATACTATTTGAAAAGTTCTCCTTACAAATTATACCCTAAACGGATTTTGCAACTGCATCCTTCCTAATATTATGCACAAATCTTGTTCACCCTCCTTTCTGTAGAGAGGCAAGAGGACTGGGTTTTTGTGCGTTATAAGCTAAGTTTTGTATGGGAACCTATCTCTGGATCTAACTTACTGTAATTGTTTGTTCCAAATTAAAGTATCTATGACTCTGTGTTCATCATGTGAATACCTATTGTTTGCTCCAAAATATTAGAAAATGAATTGAAAATAGAAGAAGGTAAAGGACCTTGCGTCCGACAATAGAGAAACAAGAACACCACCACACTCAGTAACGAGGAAATAGGTTTTATTTTTTTGGTTTGTTATTTTTAGTGAGTTTAAAGAAAGAAGTTGTAGGATGGGACCGGCAAAGATGATTCTTTCTCTGTTACTTCTTCAAGTTTTCTGAAAAAAAAACTAAATCAATTTTTCAATTGAGTTTAGAATACTCCAAACAGAAATTCAGACATGTTCTTGGTCACTAAGTGAGATGCGTAAGTATTTCAATGCTTGAATCATACATGAAGCCATGTGTCTTTCCATTTTACACCCCATCTTATTTGGGTTTTAACCGAACTCATCAATAACACATTGAATGCTTCATATAACTAATTGAGAGTTGTGGATATTGTTGTTGTTGCTTGTTACAAAGAAGAAGAAAAATCCTTGTATCAGAATTACAGAAAGCGTGCCATAAAGAATAAAGAACATGATACTAATCACGAGAGAGAGGGAAGCCAATTCCATGTCTTTGGCTAGGGAATGCAACAAAAAGAAGGCTACACAAAGTGCCAATCCCAATAGGCAAAGTCATAAGAAGCTCCTTGGTTTCCTCAGAAGGCATTTGAACAAAACAACTCACAACACTTCCATCAAAGAGTGCAATTGCCAAGAAAACGAATATTGACATGAAGGCATGGAAGAAATCAATGGACCTGAGCCTATACTTTTCTGCCTCATCTGCAGGAAGCCTCGCCGATGCATCCATAACCCACATCCCATTCAATGAGGCCACCCCATATCTCACCTTCCCCCTCTCATCCCTGAAGCTGTCAGTGAAGGACAGAAGAAAACATGAGATGCTGCAAAGGGTTACGAGGACTATGGTCATGGTTTTGTTTGTTATGGTTTGGCATTGACCTTGGTGTGTGAAAATTGGTGATAAGGTTTGGAATATTAGCGCTGTTCCTGTTGGAAGAAGCTTGGACAACTGTGCTGTGCCTTTGAATGCCTTTCTCATGGTTTTTTGTGCTGGGGTTTTGGGAGTTTTCTGTGGTACCACGTTTTCCAAAAGGGGTTGTAGAGTACCCACATTATCCATATCTTTGGTTTTTTTCAATCTAGTTCCAAGGGTTTGTCAGTTTGTGATTGAAACTTGTGTGTGATCCAGGCTTTGTTAAATACAAGTGCATGTATTCCTAAGCAAGAACAGAAAAGCATTTACGTGACCAGTGGAAAATGTTGGTTCAGTTTTGTCTTGAGGTTGTGCCAACTGGTTTGTTATAACCTGAGCTAATATTCTTTTTAAATGTATCTCTGGTTCTGTAACTGTTACATGGAACTAGATGTTATATTGTTATTGTGCTATTTATGGTGAAGAAATAGGTTACATGTCTGATGATGAAAAAAGTGGTTACATAAACATGTACTTAAGAAGGTTATATATGGTCTTGTTTTGGTTTGGTGAAATGGACATTTGCTTTTATTAAAAGTGTTTTCAGGTTTCCTTTGATTTGCATACTGAGATTGTTGTCGTGGTAAGGATTCTAACAGATACCAGAAAGTGGTTGTTTTGATATTTTTTTTATGGGACGTTTTTAAAATATATTCTTATTTGAATACCAGAATATTATTATTGCCTTGCATGCTAAGATATAATTAAATTAGTATGTGCAATGCATAAACCAAATTAGAATGTAATTTTCTCATATTTTAAAAATTTTGAGTGATTTCATAAAAAAAAATATGAGAAAATGAATATATATATCAACCACATGGACCAACTTAAAGGTAATTGATATATATATTATCTCCAAGATGTAATTAGAATGAAAAAGCTTTTTCAAAATGTTACAATTTTAACATTTGCTTAAGAAAAAGTAGTTTTAAAAATGTATAAAAAAAGTATCGTAAGAAAATTTGGAGGTGTAAATAGTAATTGTATCCCATATATGTCTCCGATCCAACACTCGGACTGTAGCCTAATTGGGCCCTTATCAATTCCAATTTCCATTGCAAGTCTCATCCTTTTCTGGGCTGGTTTGTGGTTTCATTCTCTTTGGGCTCATTTCCCCTTTTATGGTTTTTAAGGCATTTTTTGTTTCTTACACTTGATTAAAAATATACCCCACCTTGAATTATTTCAGAATAAGTATTTCAAAATTTAATTTTAAATTTCAAAACACCCATTCACTCCTAAACATGAATAATAACAAATTTACCGTGGTACTAATTAAAAAATAATAATTCAACATTTTACTTAAACTATTATGTCAAAGAAAATGTAATTCAAATATTTAGTTTATTAAGTGATATGATTCTATAGGTTTTTGTATTATCATCAAATAATGTATTTTATAATATATTTAGGTGCATTATCATCTAATACAGTCTTTTATATCATATAATAAAGCTGATTTTGGGTGTGTATATATATAAATTTTAAATTATTAAAATATTACGATAATATTCCATTAAATAGTATATTTATTATTTTATAAACAAAGCAAACAAATGATATTAATAATAAATTAAAAACTGAATGTAATAATTATTAGTGAAGAAATAACCCCCAAAATTTAGCTTGTGCGCTGTACAAGATAACTTATATGATTCTAATTTATAATAATATATCCATGACATTTTAAAAATAACTTCTTCGTGAATAAGATGTTTTCAAACGGACTCATTTTAGTATTAGTTTGTAGAAGAACTTCAGTTTGATTAATGAGACATTTAAGCACCATATTTAACTGTTTAAATAACATATTTTAATTAAAATTACGGTTTTCTTTTGATTATCTGTAGAAGAATTTTGATTGAAAAATATAACTGAAAATGGTTAAAATATTTTTAAAACTGGTGTTTCTTAAAGATTTTTAAAAAAATTAAAACAGTTATGAAATATAAATCAATGAAAGATCAATATTGATCTTATATTGATATATATTTTAAATAAAGTTTGATTATATAAATCAGATAATAATTAATTTATATTATTTTTAATAAATTTGTTAAATTTTTTCATAAATATAATTATCATCTTAATATTTTTTTCCATTCGATATCACTCATCTTTTGTTTGTACAATAAATATAATTAAAAATAGTAGTAAAATATAATTAATATTATCTTGGATTTTAGATAAACATTTAAAAAGAATTTATTATAAAAAATTATTTAAAACAGAGAAAGTATCCTTTTTCTTCTATAACCATAGCTCGCAACTCTATTATTTATTTTATTTTCTAATTTGTCTACTAAAAATATAATATATATTTTTCGGAGAAGTTCTCAATTTTTGTGTTTGTATGCAGATAGAATTCATAAATAAATTAAGATAAGTCAAACAACTTCTCACCAAATATAAGAATGGAAATTGTTTATGATGTTATTTTATATATATAAAAAATTCAAATATTCTAGTTTTTTGATGAGATATTGAAATTATCGTAAGATCAATAATTTCGTTTCATTTATATTTTTTAATCTTTAATTGAGAGATATGTTTTAGTATGTATGATTCAGGGGTCGACAATTATTGGATTGATGAAAATATTATATTTTGAAAAGTTTCACATTGGATAAGTAATAAAGTGAGTGATAATAGTTATATAATAAACTTAAAGTTCATGAGGTTGTTAGACAAATGACATCTAGAGGGAGTGAATAGATGTACAAATTAAAATAGATGTCAAATTAAAAATTTATTTGTGAGTCAATTATTTGTTTGAACACAGATAAAGCGGAAACTATCATATAATCAGGAAAGGAGAAAGAGATAAGGGAAAGAGAAGAGCACACAAAGATTTATATTGGTTCGGGTATAGTCAACCCTATATCCAGTTTCCAGTCAACTCTTAACACAAGAGTGACTCCCCATTCACTATCTTTCAAATTCAGTTTACAAATTACAATCAACTCAGCAGAATAACCAGTAAAAAGTAAACTAATTAAAAAGACAATCAACTCCTTAGAAATCCACTAAGGATGAACACCTCCCTAGAATCCCACTAGAGATGAACACCTTCTCTGAACAAATCAAAGGATGAAAAACACTTCCTTAGAATCCCACTAAGGATAAATACCTCTCTATAATCACACTAGGGATGAAAACTTCTTTTTAACAAATCAAAGGATGAAAATAACTCCTTTGCCACTAATACACAAAGGATGAAGGTAATAAAAATAGGAACAGACACACCTGGTAATGGAGACAACAAATTGTAGAAGCCTTTAGAATATCAATCTCCAAGAACAAGTGTGATTAACAAAGAAAGCACAGAAGGCAGTAGAGAAAGAGAGTTTTCTCAAAAGGTGTAAAATATCTTTGTTGCCTTGCTCAGAAATTTTTCTCAAAATTGATTAAATGTAAATTGTATTTTCGAATTCTGTAATTGTGTGTTTTTTATTTTTCATCAAAACTTAATTAAATAGAAAAATAACATCAAAAAATGGTCGTTGGACATTAATAATATCATAGAGAAAATCAGGATGTATTAAAAAACATTTATTCTTTAAAACAGATATATTTTTCAAATTTGAATTGGCAGAATTGATTATATTACCCGTATAATCAATTATGACAGAGAAAATCATTTTTCCATTTCTGATGCATCATAATTGATTATGACAAAAAAAAAATATCATGTTATGAGTTTTATCACACTTGTGTTTTGGAGGCTTATGCATAATATTACTTCATCAACTTGTACCTCCATATCCAGTATTGTAAGACTCTATCTAGTCTTGAGAAATCATCTTGGGCTTGCTTGAATCATCATCTTTATCAAAAACATATCTTGGGCATGTAAGGAAATGTTTCACATTTTCACCAACGTCATAAATTCAGTTTGAATGGTATTGACTTGAATGTAGTTGACTTGAATCATCATCAAAATCATCTCTTGGGAATGTAAGGATATTTCCATCAATCTCCCCTTCATTGCTTTCAGAGGTTTCTCACCCAGTCAAAAACACTTTAAGCTTGTGTTTGACTTTTCTTATATGCTTTTGTAGTAGTGTATTGTGAGGTTTAGTTTAAATTATTACTTTGGAGAGTATGAGTGTACTTGGGCTTAAGGACATGAGAGAGTTGTTTATATGTTATAAAAATTTTGACATAATGTCATTATCTAGTTATCATTAGATAACAATCGCATTTTTTCTCTAATTTTTTTAATTTTCACGTTATATTCTTGTATTGATTGTTTTTTTTTTCGTATTTCTTTATTATTAGGGTAATTCTCGAGAATAAATGATATTATCTTATACGACATTTTCTCCCATGATAATAATAATTTATATACATTCTATCTCTCTCAATCTATTGAGCATTTTTTACATTATAAACAAAATTTTTAAAATTTTTCAAATATAAAAATTAACTCTATTAATATTATTATAATGGACTTCAAATTAATATATTTCCGATGAAACATTATACTTAGAACCTACCTCACCAAAATTAAGTATTTAAGAAATTAATAAATTTTTATTTCTTTTTATATTAAAATATTAAGCTAAAATATGAACAAAGCTAAATATACTATAAATTACGTTTCCGTACTTATTTCAATACATATTTTCATCAGTATTTCCAACAAAAATAAATAAATAAACTTCTTTAATTTAGAATCTATTTGAATAATTTGTTTCTTTATAAGAATTTCTGAAAATATAAGAAAAATGTACTAATTAAAATTAACTTACGCATAATAAATTTTTAAATATTGATTTATATACTTTAAAAAATGTTTTTTTTTAATTTATGAATAAGATAATTTTAATTTGTCGATAAATTTATTTATTTTTTGTTTTATTTAAAATTAGATAATTTATATATATATATATATATATATATATATATATATATAACATCACTTATTTTAAAAAATATTTAAATTTTATTTTGTCATTATTTTTTTCTAATTCAACTATCTAAAATAATAATTTATTTTACTCATTGAAATAAAAATATAAATCATTTTTTAAAAATAATTTTATGAATTTTCTCCAAGAATAAAAGTCTCTTCTTTATAAATATATAATAAAAAAATAATTCAGAATATAGTGGGTAGAATTAAATTTTAAATTAATCGTTTTATAATATTAATAATTTTTACAAATGAAAATTTGTTTTTTTCTTCAAAATTTATGAGTTTAGATGGAAAAATATTTTGTGATTGAGTTTATTCGATTTCTTTTTTCTATCATAGTATTATCCTGAGCACTGGTCCACTCAAACAACGATAAATCATTTTGAATGCCATTTATTTGCAGACACACCTTCCAACTGTTAAAACATTCCCCGTATTCTTTGCGTCAGGTAATTAAATTTGACTGAACTCATAATAAATTTAATAATGTAAATAATTAAATAGTATAAAAATAATATTAGAGAAATATATCAAATTTAATCCAAATTAAATTCTGTAAATTTCACTAATTGTTAATATTTATTTTCAATGTTATCTAATCAAACCCATCTTCATTTATCATTTCTTAACTTTTGGTTTATCTATCCGAGTTTTACATGTAACAAACTATTTCTTTAACCGAATATTTTTTTAAAAAAAGTGGAACTAAAACGTGAATCACAGACCAGAAATGGTGAACGGAAATCCTTTGGGGAAAAGTGAGGTCATTCAAACCGTAAGGATCTAACCCAATTTAAAATTTAAAAGCTAGATGGTTTTTAAAAAAAGCTCTATTAAAATATATAAATATGATACAGTAAGAATAAAAAATAATTATAAAAATTATAATTTTTTTTTTTAAATAAAAGTTATACAAATATGAAAACTGATAAAATTTTAGAAAAGAAGAGTTAAAAGGAAGGTTATGTTGTCAGATTTTGGTTGATGAATCCAAAGCATGCAGAAAAACGTGAAATAGAACGTGGATGCGAAGACGTTTCTCATTCTCAAATCCAAGAGAGAGAAAGCAGTGGGATGGGACCCACCTCTGTTTTTGCATTACTGGTGTCAGTCTTTGTCATGCAAATTCACAGATAAAAAGGAAACGAAGGAACACTCCCGACACAAAATCTTTCGATCTTCCGCAGAATGTTTCTATTATTCCTTCTCTTCCTCTTCTTTCTCTCTCCTCCGCCAGTCTCTCACTCTCTAACCCAAGATGGCCTTTTCCTCCTCGAGGCGCGCCGCTGTCTCTCCGACCCCGACAACTCCCTATCATCCTGGAACCCCTCCGCCGCCACCCCCTGCCGATGGCGCGGAGTCACGTGTCACCCTCTTTCTGGCGCCGTCACCGCCGTCGATCTCTCCTCCTCCTCCCTCTCCGGCCCCTTCCCCGTTACCCTCTGCCGCCTCCCCTTCCTCTCCAACCTCAACCTCTCGTCCAACCTCATCAACTCCACCCTCGCCCCTGTCTCCCTCTGCCGCACCCTCCTCCACCTCGACCTATCCCAAAACATCCTCGTGGGCCCCATCAACTCCGTCGTCGCACTCACTTCCGTCCGTCACCTCGACCTCTCCGGCAACAACCTCTCTGGCGAAATTCCAGCGAAAATCGACGCCCTTCGCCACCTTGAAACGCTCAACCTCGTTAACAATCTTCTCACCGGCACCATCCCCGCTTCACTCGGTAACCTCACTTCGCTCAAACACCTTCAACTCGCTTATAACCCGTTCAAGCCGAGTCCCATCCCGAGACAACTCGGTAACCTCCGTAACCTCGAAACGCTTTTTCTCGCTCTGTGCAACCTTGAAGGCCCCATTCCAGTCACCTTCAGCAACCTCGTCAATTTGACCAGCCTGGACTTGTCTCAGAACAGCATCACCGGTCACATTCCGCGATGGTTCACGCGCTTCACGAGCGTGATCCAAATTGAGCTGTACAATAACTCGCTCTCCGGGGAGCTGCCCAGAGGAATGTCGAAGATGACGAGTTTGAAATCATTCGACGCATCGAGGAACAAGTTGACTGGGACGATTCCGACTGAGTTGTGCGAGTTGCCTCTGGAGTCATTGTACTTGTACGAGAATAAACTCGAAGGGTTTTTGCCGGCGGCCATTGCTCGTTCTCCGAACCTCTATGGACTGAAACTTTTCAGTAACAAACTCGTTGGAACGTTGCCGAGTGATTTGGGAAGCAACTCACCGTTGAACCATATCGACGTTTCGTTTAACCAGTTTACCGGCGATATTCCGGCGAACATTTGCCGGCGGGGTGAGCTTGAGCAGCTACTCTTAATATACAATTCATTTTCGGGTGAAATTCCCAATAATCTCGGGAAATGCAAGAGTTTAATGAGGGTTCGGTTAAGGAACAATAATCTCTCCGGAAGTGTTCCTGACGGGGTCTGGAGCTTGCCCCGTTTGCACTTGCTTGAGCTTTTGGAAAATTCTCTTTCTGGCCACATTTCTAAGGCGATTTCTGGCTCTTCCAGCATGTCAAATTTGTTGCTTTCAAATAACCGATTTTCTGGGTCGATTCCCGAGGAAATCGGATTATTGGACAATCTGGTGGAGTTTGCTGCTAGTAATAATAATTTATCGGGTCGGATTCCGGGGAGTATGGTGAAGTTGAAGCAGTTGGTTAATCTTGATCTTAGTTCTAATCAACTTTCTGGTGATCTTAATTTTGGTGGAATTAGTTACTTGAGTAAGGTCACTGACCTTAATTTGTCACATAATAGGTTTAATGGACGTGTTCCAAGTGAATTAGGAAGTTTGCCTGCGCTTAATTATCTTGATCTTTCTTGGAACAATTTTTCTGGAGAGATTCCATTGCAGTTGCAGAATTTGAGGCTATCTGAGCTGAATTTGTCTTATAACCAGCTTTCTGGGTATATTCCTCCTATTTATACCCATACCAAGTATAAGACGAGTTTTATAGGGAATCCTGGCCTCTGTAGTAATCTCCCTGGGGTTTGTAATGGTCATGATAAGAATAAGAATTGGAGCTATGTATGGATTTTGTGGTCCATTTTTGTGCTTGCTGGACTGTTGTTCATTATTGGGGTGGCATGGCTTTACATTAGGTACAGGAAGGTGAAGAAATTGAAGGAGGAGTTGTACACTTCGAGGTGGAAGTCGTTTCACAAGCTGCGGTTTAATGGGTTTGAGGTTGCTAAGTTGCTGAATGAGGCCAATGTGATAGGAAGGGGATCATCTGGGAAGGTGTACAAGGTGGTGCTCGGCAATGGTGAAGTGGTGGCAGTGAAAAAATTGTATGGAGCACCTACGAAAGTGGATGAAAATGTTGGTTCTAGGAAAGATGAATTTGATGCTGAAGTAGAAACTCTGGGGAGGATTAGGCACAAGAATATTGTGCGGTTGTGGTGTTGTTGCAACGATGGGGACCACAAGTTACTGGTTTTTGAATACATGCCAAATGGGAGCTTGGGTGATTTGTTACAGGGTAGCAACAAGAGCCTGTTGGATTGGCCTATTAGGTATAAAATTGCAGTTGATGCTGCTGAGGGGCTTTCTTATTTGCATCATGATTGTGTCCCACCCATTGTCCACAGGGATGTGAAATCTAACAACATATTGGTGGATGAGGAGTTTGTGGCAAAAGTTGCAGATTTCGGAGTTGCCAAAATGGTTACAAGAGCCGGCCAAGGGACAGAATCAATGTCTGTGATTGCAGGATCATATGGCTACATTGCACCAGGTTTGTGAAACAAATGTTTGAAAAATAGCCACTTTCTCGTTGCGTCCTACTTGAATTCTTAATCAGTATGACACTTCCACATGTTAGACATTGTTTTGGTCTGATTACAGTTTTTTCCTTTTCAGTGTATGAAAAATTAACGGTATAGATTCGAATATATTTTATACATTTGTTTTGCATATCTGTACAATATCAACCATCATCAATTAAGATCATTTACGTTTCCACTTAAGTAAATTAGGTTAAAGCTAGCCCATAAACGTTAGAATTTATCTTATTTTAAATAAGTAATCCCATATTGATGAAAAACTACTTTTTATGTGCTAACATATTTATTATGGTTTAGTATCCGTCGGTGGTTAATTTTCTCATCAATAATTAACATGACTCACTTTTCCTCCTCTAGAATGAGTTGCTTGCTTTAAAGACAGAAATCCTAAATGGCAAAGTTTATAGTCTGTGTATACGTAACACAGTAATAGACTTAGATGACAAAGTTTTGCAACATGCATGAATTTACTTGGACATTTGAAACTTTATTGATGTGCAGAATACGCATACACTCTGAGGGTGAATGAGAAGTGTGACATATACAGCTTTGGAGTGGTTATTTTGGAGTTGGTAACTGGGAGACCCCCCATTGGTCCAGAGTATGGTGAAAATGATTTGGTGAAGTGGGTTTCCTCTGCATTGGAACATGAAGGATTGGATCATGTAATTGATCCTACATTGGACTCCAAATACAGGGAAGAAATAAGCAAGGTGTTGAGTGTGGGGTTGCATTGCACCAGCTCCATCCCAGTAACTCGCCCCTCAATGAGAAACGTGGTTAAAATGCTTCATGAGGTAACAACGGTTCCCAAATGCACAAGCTTAAACGCTGGAAATGACCCTTGTTACAATGAAGGCACATCTCATTGTATCAGTGAAGTGTAGTTTGAGCAATGCGCTCAAAAATAGACAGCTTAATTAATTTCTCTACTGCATTGGTTTCCTCTTTTATATTACAAGGATGAAACATTGAAGCTCATTTTGTTTTAGTCTAGGGTCGCTTTTCCTTCAGATTATAGCAGTTGCATCATACAGCAATAGTAATTTGTAACTGTTCCTTAGTATATTGGTCTTTCTCTGTGTCTCAAACCACCAAATTTAGTATTTCTTTTCGTTTGGAGAACGTTTATGTCTATTATAGCTTCTTGATTGATTAATTGTGGTCTTCTTTTTTTAGTATCTGGATCTGTTCATCTACTTTTACATGATTCATCAAATATCAAGCTAACAAGACTTTCTCTTCCAACATATATCGAGAATTAAATGATCGTCTTAAGAATGGATGATCAATAAATAGATTAAGGCTGCTACACACTCCCCAGTTTTGAAAGATAAAAAGACTAAGTTTAAAACATTTAAATTTAAATAATTTCAGTTTCTAATCAAAATTCTTTAGTTGATCATAACTATATTTTATTTATATCGATTAACATATGAAACTCCCATAACATAAATTTAAAGAATTTTTTTGCACATTTTAAGTTGAAGCAAATGACGTTACATTTGCTTTATGAAGCAAAGTTATTTATATAACTAACATTACTTTAAAAAAATATTTAATAAAATATTTTAAACATTAATCTCATAATCTATTATTGCAAAGACTTATAAATAAGTTAAACACTTATTTCAAAGTTTTTAAGGTTATTCTGGAACTCTAGTTAGAATTCATTGTCTTTTTAATGTCCCATGTCTCTTATTTATGAGGTCTTCCACATTTGGATATTTATGTGATTTACACCATATATATATATATATATTTGGAATCAATTAAATAGGAAATATCTTTTGAGAGTATAGAACCTCTAATTTCAAGTCATTTGTGGGGAGGAGGCTTTATATGATTGAAATACCACTCAGGATACAAAATTTCATGTGACATTGTAAGTTTCACAAAATTAAGGTAAAAATACAATTGTTATAGAATATAAATTTATTAATTTTTATTATATGATTTTAATACATATAAATAAAATAGAGTGTAATTGCTACTTCATTAATAGTAAACGAGAGTCAAATCTCTATTTCAAAATTAAAGTCTTTTTATTTTATCCCTAAATTGTTATTTACCCTTTGATCTTGAAATAAAACTAATACAGTAACATTAAAAAAAAAAAACCACTGTATCTTCTAAAATAATATATACTAAAGCATTCAATTTTATAAAACTATTACATGAAATAAAGAGATTTTACTCTAAAAATATTAATATTTTGTTAATAGACGTGTACTAATGTACTCCTTTCATTTCTTTTTAAGAGTTTATTTATTTGCTGTTTTTTAACTTAAATGTTTTAGTTTTTAAAAATTTAAAAACCTATTTGATAAATATTTTATTAAAATTGTTTCTAAAAATATTATTTGAAAAATTTAAACTGTTAAAGTATATATTTGTTTAATTTTTTATTTATCATTTACAAAATTGAAGATTATATTAATTAATATATTTTTATTAGTTATACTTATGGAAAGAAAAAAATGTAATAATATAAAATGAAAGCATTAATAATTTAAAAATACTTTAGACTAGTCAAATTGATAGAGAATAGTTATGAATTATAAATGATGAAGTTCCAATTTTGAGAGGCCAATATTGCAACCTAAGGGAGAGGTAATTGAGGTTGGTGGGTAGTGATTATTTGGGAATAAGATCATAAATCATAAATGCATAATAAATATCAGCCAAGCCACATGTGTTTCCAAGAACAAAAGGAAGCTAACTGGGAAATTTAAATGTAATAATGGATATTTTCTTTGATTGGTAATGATAAATCTTTAACTGGAATCTTAAATCTTAAATTTGTTATTTTATTATAAGATTTTGCTCTAAAGAAACATGAGTGTTTTTTACAATAATTCTGAAGATCTATACACTCTTTAAGAAAAGTAAAATTTTAGACTCTCTGATTGTGGAAGAAATCATAGAAAATCCAAAGAGAAAACTATTAGATTGTGAGGTTTATTATAGTATTAAAAACTTACTTAAAATACTAAAGTCAAATCTATTATTTGAACAAAATTCGATTGAGATCATAAAAGATTTTTGTCCTAAACAAATTAGTACAAGATCTAAACAAAATTTTATATACTTAAAATTGCGATTCATTATTATTCTTGAGTAATATCCTTGGTAATTCCCCTTCATTCAATCTGTTTGGTGAAATTATACCATCAATTTTAAAATAAATCTTTATAAAGTATTCAAATTCTAAAACTTCAACATAAAGCAATAATAATATTTGTAATTTTTATTCCAAATAACAGTGTTTATAACTTTTTTAAGCTAATTTTCCTAACAATATTTGCATATATAATTAAAAGTAATAAATCGAGTGCCACGTACATTGAAAAATGACACAAGAGCAGTCGAAAGATTATAGATATTTTCAATAAATTTGTATTAGTTGAAATATTATGGATTTTTAATAAATTTGTATTTTATAGTTAATTTAACAATGAATTCATGTGAAATTAATTATTTTATTTATATTGGAGTAATTATCGAAAATTATTATTCATATGGACCAAGAATTACTTAATTATGTGATATTATATGGCATTTATGTTATGAGCTTAGTTATATGAATGTATTAATTTTCATTGAATTTATTCAAATATATTTTTCTTCTTAGTATCATCAATTCTTATTACAATAAGGAAATAACATTTTTTTTAAATTATAGTAAAATATTTATGGGTCCCATATTCTTGCTCTTGGTCACGTTACATGTTTTGGGTGATGCCTTGTGACACTTAAATATCATTTGTCTAATATTAAGTATGGTCATATAGAACGAAGTTAAACCTGGGTTTAACTATAATATTTCTTAGTATCTTGGTAATAAGTCATGTTGTGCGTTCTAATTGAATAATGTAGACGCTAGATACATAATATTTATATTATAAATTTCAAAATTTCTTAAATAAAGTATATTAATTAAGTCAAACTAAACAACATTCATTTGTAAATAGAAGTTCTTTTGTAGTTACACAAACTTTATATGTTATTTATTGTACTTATTGTTAGCTTGGAGTTAGGGTTTTTATAAATTGCAATCTTAGCTCAAATTCTATCTAATTACATCACTTCAAAGATTCTAAATTAGTGAAAACATTGCTGAAAATTTAATTAATTGGAAACTAAAATGTGATAAATTTCTGATTGATAAAGTGTTTGGAAACTTAGTTGTTAAATTAATTTACAAGGGTAAAATGAAAAAGAAATATTTTTTATAAAATAGTAAAAATAGGAATAGAAAAAATAAGGTTAAAGTTCAAACACTACGTACCAAAATAATACAAGTTATTAAAATAAGCTCATTTGTCAATCATGCTTAATTTGGTAAAACAAAAAACTTTTAAACTAGTCAAATTAGTAAGTTAGAAATTAGCTTATTAACTTGTCAAACTCACTTTAAGTAATCATTGTAAACTATATATTATTAATTATATATTTAATACTAAATTGACTATTTTAAATACTTAAAACCTTAGCCTATTTAGTCAAATAAATCATCCTAAAAGTAATCTATAATTACTAAATAAAATTTCTTCTTCCATGTATGTATGTATACATACACGTTTATCTAATACTAAAAATTCCCTTTAATTCTGTGTTATACAATTAAATTTTGAATACCTCGTCCATGTACTAAACTAAGTATATAATTAAAATATAAATTTATAAATGATTACTAGATGAAATGTAGGTCTAAACTATGTAAAATGATTTTCTATTAAGAATAAGTGAAAAAAAAAAAGTTCTTCACCTGTGTAATTTATGACTAGAAAGACATAATATTTTTTCTTTTAAGATGACCTAGAATATCAACTCAAAATCTGCTCCTATTCAAAACACTTATCATTGCAAGGAAAATTACAATCCAACCAATTTAGTGGAAAACCATTTTTTAAACAAACAATCTGCATGTATGTAGTAGTCGGACGTACGGATTTATACATAGTATTGACAAATCTATTCATATAAGCACATATTTTCCAGAAAAAAAAATTATTTTTGAATGTTTTTTACTCGTCTTAAAATTATGGCAATAAAATATAAAATTTAGACTATTTTAAATATAGAATAAATCAGCCAAATAGTATTTAATTCCATGCAAGGAGACCTAATTAATGAGGGGTCATAATTATTTTCAACCATAAATGGATCGATCGGAACTCCACAACTGCCAGCATATAAACAAACGTAGGGACAGTACTTCCAATCTTAGGAAAACTCATTAATTTACAAAACCTGTCTTGTTCATCTAGACAAGTCACTGGTGTAGATTGAACTTGAGAAGTAAAGATCTTATTGGTGGAAATAATGGTGCAAATTGTTGGAGACAATTTTCCAGTATTATAATTATACTCTCTTGACACAAGATCACGTTTGCTTTGGCCATATGGCAACAGATAATGTATCCCTACAACCATTGTTGACATTGAGAGCTAAGACTGTCTAAGTCACCATAGGACTTCAAAGAGAGAGAGAGAGAGAGAGAGAGAGCGAGAGAGAGAGAGCGAGAGCGAGAGAGAGAGAGAGAGAGATAAGGGTTTCTTGGTATGCATGAGAAGTCTACGTGAAGGAATGGAATTATGGTTGGCTGAAAAATTTTCATTTTTTTTTCTGGTATTTATATAATTTTTAACTTTATCTACACTCCAGGGTGACATTGGACCTAAATTCTTTGTGCTTATACATTAGGTTGCCCTAATCCCACTCAACTCTAGCCATATTATAATTGTTTATTTTCCAAATATAAACCTGATTTGTTTAAGAAACTCGTCAGAGCTACCTTTAGTCAGAGTAAAAGGGACAAAAACACTTGCAAAAACAAAAGGGGACGAAAAACCTACATTTATTCTTGTACAAGTTTTCACACATACCATGTAGAAAGCAGAACTAAACTTGAGATCAAAGCAATCCCATTTTTTTATTCTTATATGTTCCCTGTTCAACCAACCCTGTCCCTAATTGTTAATCTCATTCTCTATTTAGATTTTTGGGCATCTCTTTCTCACTTTCTCGTTAAGTGGAAGCACAGAGGTTGGGGAAGGACTGCAATATTATTCACTCCTCATGTAAAAGTGAGGGAGAATTTAATTCCTTCCCACTACTCCTTAACAAGTAGTGGCATGAGGGGAGCAAGCTTTAGAAGAGACAAGTTTCCCTTTTCTCCCTTTTTTTAATTATTACTACTTTAAATCCATCTCTTAACTCAAACGTTTCTCTCTCTCTCTCTCTCTCTCTCTCTCTCTTAGTTTGTGCTCCTTTTGTTTTATACCAGCAGAAGAGAGGGAAACCAAACAACAAAAAGAGGGTGTCCATAAATGGAATGAGTGACGAAAAGAAACGAAAAACAAGAAAATGACTCAGTGCAGTGACCCAGAAAACAATCATCATAACAGCATAGTGGAGGGACGAAAGGATAGCCTAATTAGAACTTGTCCTACATGTGGTCATCATATCAAATGCCAAGAACAGGTTCTTCCTTCTTCTTCTTCTTCTTCTTCTTCTTATTATTATTATTATTATTATTATTGTTTTATTATTACTCTACTATTAACCTTTTGTTAATAAATATACATATCATTACCCTTTTGGTTGCTTTTTTTTTTTTTTCTTTTGAGGGTGACCATTATGAAACTGTCTTATCCAGTTTGATTCATTTTTCATTTTTTTGTGGTATTGATTTATTAGGGAGGTGGAATTCATGACTTACCTGGACTTCCTGCTGGGGTGAAGTTTGATCCTACAGATCAAGAGATTCTTGAACATTTGGAAGCGAAGGTGCGATCTGATATTCACAAGCTTCATCCGCTAATTGATGAGTTCATTCCCACTCTTGAAGGAGAAAATGGAATCTGCTATACTCATCCAGAGAAGTTGCCAGGTCAAATAAAATTTATAAATATTAAGTCTTAATCTCGCAGATCCTGTTTGATTCTTACAATTTCTCAACTGTTTCATAACTTCTGATAACTCCAATTAATTTTTAAAATTTTACATTTTATTTGGATAGGTTTTTCTGTGTATATTTATAAATATAAAGAGAAGACTCATAATTAAATTAATAATAATTTACTTTTTTTCTTATTTTGTTTTCTCAACTGCTTAATAGCCTTAATCTTTTTAATCACAGTAACAGTGACACGGTTAGAAGTAAGTGGATTGATTACCTTTCGACTTCAACAACATGAAGAAACATTATTAATTTTAAGTATAGTTTCACATGGCAAACCAGTATTAAATCTATATATTTAATCTTGGGTCTTGAACAAGATTATTTCTAAAAGAGAATACATGTGAGAAATTGAAAAGAAATACATTATTTTATTTTTCTGAAAGTTGAATTTTTAAGAGACATGACATTGACTGAAAAATATATTTAAGCATATTAATTGTTTTATTATATTTTTTGCAGTAGAAATGAATTAAAACCGAAGTTCTTTGTTGAAATTTTTGTGCAGGAGTTAGCAAAGATGGTTTGATCCGCCATTTCTTTCACCGGCCTTCCAAGGCATACACCACAGGAACAAGGAAAAGGAGAAAGGTGCATTCAGATGAAGATGGCAGTGAGACACGTTGGCACAAAACAGGCAAAACTAGGCCAGTCTTCAACAGTGCCAAGTTGAAAGGGTATAAGAAAATCCTTGTACTTTACACAAACTATGGAAAGCAGAGAAAGCCTGAGAAAACAAACTGGGTGATGCACCAATACCACCTTGGCAGTGATGAAGAGGAAAAAGAAGGAGAGTTAGTGGTGTCTAAAGTTTTCTACCAAACACAGCCTAGACAGTGTGGTTCCCTCATGAAAGACTCATCAGTTCCTGGGAAACATCTGAAGGGTCAAAGTGTGCATGAGGTGATCAATAACAAAAACAATAACAATGGATTTGTTGAGTACTACCATTCAAATTTCATCTCATTTGATCAAGGTGGCCAACATAGACCAACCACTGCTCAGGTAATTTCCCATTTTCCTGTCCATGAAGGTGCTCCTTTCAACATTCCTTGAATGAAGCAGTGAAGAAATTATAAGGTGAAAGGTAAGAAGAGGCCATGAGAGGAAAATATATTAAATATATACATAGAATTCATTCTGCTGAGGCATTTCAATTATATATTATGCAAAAATAAAATAAGTTAATAACCTACTGTAGTTAAGTGGGGGAAAGGTGGGCAAGAATAAGGTGAGAAATTGCTTCATTTGAAAACTAATGCATAGATACTCGTATTAAGAGAGAAAGAGATTGGGAAGTAAAGAAGAAGATTTAGACGTAACACTTTTTTTTTTTTTTTTCTTTTCTTTTCTTCCCTCTCTTTATATTTTTTGAGGGTACTTAGCTTCTACATATCATGCTTTGTACAGTAGAGTGAAAGGCATCATGCCCTTGCTTGTGTAATTAAAGACTAACCATCAACCTGTACAAACATGACTTTCACTTAAGGAGTCTTGAACTGCAGAATCTGTTTCTATGCCTTTTTCACTGAATGTTTTAATTTATTGCAAACTTAATTATATTTATTGTCTGCATAACGTAAATTTGTAGTCACTAATTTTGGAATCTCGAACCTGTGGAATGTCTTTTCACCATGTCTATGGCTATACTAGTAAAACTTAAGATTAAACTGCGTATCTTTGTTATAAGAGAATTATAAACAATCAAAATTGTAAATGCAATCCCTTGACCTCGAAGAAAAAAACATTGATTGTTCTGTTCTATGATGTTACGTGAAACTAAATTGTACTTTGGATTTTTCGTAATGCTACTTTGCATTAGACATTAATGAATTTTTTATTGTTTATTGTAAATCTAATGATTTTGTTTATTAAATATGTATAAACAAATGCGTATCTTGGTGCATTGTTTTCTTTGTCAAAGTTGTAATTTTATAAAAGCAAGCACGCACTATTTGAGAATTTTAAATCTCATGATCCAGTTCAGCAATTGAATTTTATATATATATATATATATATATATATATATATATATTTTTTTTTTATTATTATTATTATGTATATCAATTTTTATAAAAATAAAGAGTAATTGTTAATAGAATGATTTATATTTTAATACATATATATATATATATATATATATTAAGTTATATAAATAAGAAATCATATAATTCGAATTAATGTAATTTTTTGTATATATAACTTATGTGAGCAATTTTAAAATCAACAATAATTTTTTAGAATAGTGTATATAATAATAGTAATAACGATAATAAACAGAATTTAAAGAAATAATAGTCAAAAAATTAATTTTATAATATTTGTTTCATTAAATGTAATTAAATTTAAATAAAACTCAATTAATTATATTTGTTATACTTTTTTTCTAATTAAATATTATTTTTGATAACTTTGATTTTAAGCACTGATTAACATTAACTATTATATATTATTTCTTATTAATGATGTTTTTAAGTTAATTGCTTAAAATATATTTTTCCTGAATAATACTTAGTAATTACAAGTAGTGATTTGATAAATATACAGTTAAATTTAAAATAATTATTTATATTTTATCATAATTAATAATTAAAAATAAAAATAAACAAAATAAATACAAAATATTAAAATGTTAAAGCTTATATTAACTAAATAACTTCAACTTATTGGATGTTTATGGTTTTGATTGATTTTCATTAAACTATTCATCCAATTCGATTAAAATAGTTTAATTTGGGTTGATTTATGTTATCTTTTTCTAAATTTGAATCGAATGATTCGATTAATAACAGATCGAGTTAATCTTTTACAAATAATAATAATAATAATAATAATAATAATAATAATAATAATAATAATAATAATAATAATAACTATTGGAACAGAGCAAAATCTTACTTATTTTAAAAGATTAAAAATATATATAATTTTTTATTAAATTATTTATCTCTTTAAATATTTCGATCATAGATAATTTCTTCCTCTCGACATACATTACTTAATACAAATTTAATTAAACGCAACGTTGGCGTTTAGAAAGAAAGAAATAGTAAAATTTGAGTGAGTATAGAGTAATTTGGTAAATATAAAATATTTTAATGTTTATTTGAAAAACTAATAGTAACATAATACTCACATCCTTAAAGTAGTAGGGTATAATTTACTCTAAAGTTTAATCTCGTTATAATTTGATAAACAATTAGGTTAAGTTGTCAACATGTTTTGAGGTGGCAGGAACAAAGAAAAGCGACAAGAGTAACATGTTTTGCTGTGATTAACAAGGCAAATTATTGATCTCAGTAGAAATTATTATTGCATGATAAGAGATTGTTTATTGCAGTTTGAACTGAATCATGATTCAGGACTGAACAAGGTGCTTGATATCCATAGGGTAAGTAAAAGCTGGATTAGAAGCATTATATGAATTCATTGCAATGATTCTATTGGCAGCTTCTGTGGGATGGAATTCATCCCAGAACATGTATGTTGTTCTGTTCTGGCATGGTGTTTCATTCGGAACACACAACCCATTCGTCCCTGATGAGCAACAAGAAGCATCTACAACACTGAAACCTGAAACACATTGATATGTATACATACATAAGCAGGATAATTAAAATAAATTGAGGAGCCAGCTAATATGAGTTCATATTTTTTTGAACTTAGGTTCTTTATCAGTAAAATTTAGATGAATATGTAAATATCAGTTAAATGGAAATTCATACTAAGGAAACTAACTGTCAAGGGTTCCAGCTGAGCTGTCAATAAAGATGAATTTGGAATCATCAATGAAGTTGTTATTGAATTGATCCACGAGAGATTTGAGTTTAACATTGAACATGTGTGCAGCACTGTTCATCTCTTCATCACAAGATCCATTTCTAGAGACCACATTTGGAGTGCAGCCAATGTGACCGATTCCTACTAGGACAAATTTTCTTGCCCCATATTCCTCACGCAGTACCTGCCACCAAAAAACATAAAATGTATTATATTCGTCTTAATTACGGGACTAAAAGTTCGAATTTGTGAGGCGTAGAGAGAAAAAGAAAAAGAAAAAAGAAAAATGTAAAATACCTGTATATGTTGAGACATCAGAGCAATAAGAATGTCAGAATATTGGTTAAGGGTGTAGATGTGACTTGATGGGTAAAACTGGGGAAGGAAGTAATTGTTTATGTAATCATTGCTACCTATATTAACGTAATACAAACACTTGTTAAGGTATTGTTTTGCTTTCTCAGAACCTCCAATTTTGATGCCAATTTTCGAATATATGATTCTGTGGTTTAGCATCTGTGCTCCCAAATTTACATTCGCACCCTGCATATTGTGTAACACTAATTTAATTAGATGAAACCAGAACCAATTAAAGAGTGAGATCAACATTGAAAGAAACGTTGAGATATATATATCTGATTTATTAAGATTAATGGTTACATCTGTCTTTCTAATACACCTTTCTTATTCACTTAAAATATATAATTATGAGTAAAATTTGAGGTTAAATATTCCATAGACTGGTACAGTTTCCAAAAGAAATAATTATTAATTATCACTACAATACAAATTTTGTTTTCCTCAACTCTTCCTAATTAATTTGACCTTATCTCTAATAAGACTATGAGAAAAATTGTTATCGGAATTAAATTATTGATCACTATAATAATATAATTAGTCATTAATTCAACTGTATACTAATTTAATTTTTAATAAATAATAGCTAAAGTTTAAGATTAATTTAAATCTTATTCAAAACTAATTTAATTTTTACTATACTAATCTAATTATTTAGATTGGGATAAAATATGTAATGAATTATTTTTTATTTTAAAAATTTAAAATCAAGATTAAGTTCAGTGGTTATGAATTAAGTCCATTTAGGTTGGTTTAACCAAATTAAGTTGTGTTAATAACTAATACTGAATCAGGCTAGGTTCACTCAAGTAGGCAGATAGATTCAAGTCGAGCCAATTTAGAAAAATGAGTATTTTAGGCAGGTTGAAGTAGATCAACTCAAATTGGCTCAAATGGGTAATGATGAGTTTCAATTGGGTTGGTTGGTTGGATTGAATTGACTCATGTTGAAACTAGTAGTAGACTTATGTTAAGTAAAGCTGGCTTAGGTTTATTTGAACCAACTTGATTTGGGTTAAGTCGATTAAAATTATGTTCGGATCAATTTGAGTAAAGTTAAAATGATATTCTAATTAGATATAGTCGATTTAGAGAATTAGGTTTATTCAAAAAGTCGGGTCAAATCAAATTCGAACTGAGTTGTTTCGTGTTATATGAAATTAGGTCAATTTAAGTAGGGTCACGTTGGATTACCTCATGTTATATAAGTTCAAATAAGCTAAGGTAGGCTTAAATAAAGTCAAGGGAAGCAAATTTAGGTCAAGACAAGTCGGGCTAACTAGATTTTATTGGATTAGATCAAGTTAAATAACTTAAATGTGTTTCGAGCATGTTAAGTTAGATTGAGTTAAGCCAGGTAAACTAGGTCAACTTAAATTGAAATATGCCAAAATTAAAAAGGGACAAAACATCTTATGTAAGATTTGTTTGAGTCAAGTAAAGTAATTTAGTTTTATCTTAAGTTAAATTAGATTTAGTTGAATAGAAGATGTAGATTAAATTATATTAGAAATTATGATCGATAAGTTCAAATCAAAATAGAAAAATGAATATAAATTTAATCTAATCTAATTTAAATTCAAATTTAAACAAAATTAAAAAAATCTATATTAATATAATTTAATTAAATGAATATGAATTTTGAAAATCACATGCGACCCTATTCAAATCATTTCTTAAAAAAAAAAGTTGATTATCCTCCTTTAAAAACAATCTTTTAATAATTTTATTTAATAATGTAATAATGATAATTTTAATTTTTATTAAATTATTTAATGACTATTTAATGATTATTAATTAATTAATAAATAGAGTTATCATGGAATTATTCAAGCTGTTATATATATATATATATATATATATATATATATATATATATATATATATATATTTCTGTTAATATAATAATACCATATGTTTGCCACTCTCATGGCGAATCCCAGCCCCACCGGATGCATAGTTCACACCCTTAAGTATGTCTGAGCCACCAATGTAAGAAAATGGTGGGATGAAATTCTCAAATCCCAGATGTTGACCTGCATTAACAGTTAAAAAAGCTAATTACTGATTCAATATATAGTATATAATCATGTAGAAACATTTCACACTTTCATATACTCATGATAAAATTGTTATACGAACTCTTAAAACTGGTGAATTGAGCATAGAAAATCACGTTACGTACCAATTAGGTCAACTGAAGTTTGTCCATTGGTAAATCTCCCAGTTGGGCCTAAAGGGAAATCAATGCCATATGGTCTGTAATTGGTCTTTGTAGTTGTTCTTCGAAGTCTGTTGTTATTTCCGCTATCAGATAGAGAGTCCCCAAAGATGAAAAGGCAAGGCACCTGTGATTCTCCATGGACAGATCGCTGCATGCAATTTGAAGCCAAACAAACAACTGATACAACTAACCATAGCTTCGTTTTAGCTTCCATGTCGAAAAGCCTAAGACAGAAGATGTTTTTGGGTTATCAAATACGATCTAGAAACTAATGCGTGTCGCAAACACAATGAAGGTTGCATGTATATATATATATGCAGATGTGGGGTGACAAAATTGTGTCCAACTTGAACTTTTGTTTCATCATTTTACAAAAGTGAAAATAAAGCAATAATAAAGTGACACTATTTTCTTATTTTGATAAAATAAAGTAACACGGTTTCTGATTAAGATGACGAGTTTGCAAGGTTTTGTTACGATTAAAAGCACAAAAACACGTATTTCAATTTTTTTTTGTCCCATTCATCTTGTTGATAAGTGAACACCAATCAGAGACGGTTGTTTTTGTTTGTTTCTTCTATTAAGCAATTAATGTAACACGATTTGATAATTAAAATAAATAATTCTCCTGTATTTTAATTTCTTTTTGAAAACTATTATCTCTTTGATATATGGCGTGTTAAAAAACTATATGTTGAACGTCATAAATCATTAAGATTTGTATTTAATTTCATTCATAGTTTGCCCCAAGATACAGTGGTGGATCTTGATCATTCATCCTGGAGGGTCAAATAATATATTGTTAATAAATAATAAATAAATATAAAAGAAAGAAATAATATGAAAAGATAAAAGGATAAAATTGTAAATATATATTTAAATATATTAAATAATCATTAAATTTGAGATAGAAAAAATCATTAAATTATATGAGAGTTATAAAATTAAGAAGAAACTAAAAAAATAAAATTATAAATATATAAATAAATATATTAAATATTTATTAATTAAGTTGAGACAACCAAAATTATAAATTACAGAGTTACAAATATTTGAGAAAGCCACTTCCCCTCAGCTCCCAATCAAGATACACCACTGCCAAGATATATATCTCTTATTGAAGCGTAAAAATCAATTATGTAGGTCTTGTCTCTTTTCAGTAAAATCTTATCCATACATTGGTTGGATCTTGTTTGATGGCATCAGGGCTCTGTGTTTCTAAGTCCATACGTCACCATAAACAATTTTATATGTTTGGTTTTAAAATTTTATTAATAATCGATATCTTTTAATTTATTAATGTGCTTATTATTTAATAATAAATGTAAATTATTTTAAAATTTGAAACACTAGTAAATTTCAATGAAAACATCCTAATATTTATTTGCTGTGTAGGTGAACGATGATTGGATCACTTGTCCCACGATAACAACGTAGGCAAAAGTAAAGGCAAAATCAAAGAACAGAGTGTACGGGTGGTGAAGACTCGAGAATGTGGCTTCTCTTTTACTTTTTCTTTTCTTTACCTTTTCATTCATCAAATGTAACAATCTATCACATAAAACACTGAAAAGTTTAATGAGTAATGATGATAGATATTTTTTCATCATAAATACTTTTTATATATTTTTTTCTTATTTGTTCACTTCTTTATTTCTTTTTCTATTTTTTGTGTTTATCTTCGTAGACATTGATGAATTCACAAACCATCAATAAAAACAGTGAAAAGATTAATAATGTTGTCTGGTTGGAAGAGTGTTATTACTATTAGTAACAATTGTATTTAAATAAAAAAGTAAATTTGATTTATTCTATTTTCTCTTTATTTAAATAGTAATAAACATGAATGATAATTCCTTTACTGTATGAGGAAAAAACCATATTCTAAAAGTTTAGAATAATAATGATTTAATCACATATATTTATTTCTTAATTTTAAAAATAATTATTTTTTTTATTTTAGTTCATAGTTTAAAACTGTTTAAACTATTAGTATATATATCATAAAAATTTATGATACACTTTTCTATTACTTTGTTTTCGAACTTTTAGTTTTAATAAATATACTTTAAAATTATTTATTATATCTTTTGTCAAGAGCCAAATAAAATGTTATACGTGTCTGAAAATTAACTGTTCTGTATATAATTATTTTGGCATGAGATATTTATAATTTTGTATTTTATTGACAGTTTATTTATTGTTAACAAAATGTAGCTATTTCTAATTCTATAAAATGAAATTTGCATGTTGTTACCAGTGGAAATATATTTATTTGTTCACATTTTATGCATTATTAATTTATTTAAAACATTTTTTTAATATTTTTTTCTCCCTATTCGTATCCTACCCATATTTTTTTCATTTATTACATTTATCACAATTTATTTATATTTAATATATTTTAAAATATATAAACTATAATCATTGTTTCTCACTTTTTTATGTAGAAATATTACTTTATTATCTCTTATTTAAATTAGGTATTAAGATATTTTATTATATTTTAAGAGAAGATAAAAAAGATATTAGGTTATTATTTTGATTTAGGCAGTTATAATTGATATATTATTAATATTTGATATTTTATAATATTTTTATTTTATATATACATAGAGTACATAAATACAAAATATACCACATGATGTATAGAAATACACATACACAAAATTCTAAAATTTCCTATCAGTGATATTAGAGCTTCGATACAATGGAAGGAGAAATAAACTTTTCACAAGTCGTTATTCTAGTTTTTTATGACGAAAGTTATGACTTATGGGTTTTGAGAATGTAATCCTATCTTGAAGGATTAGATGTATGAGAAGTTGTGGAAGAATATTATATTGTTGATCCGCTATCTGAAAATCCCATCATATATAGTTCAAATGAAATTTCACAGAGAAAGAAAAAACGAGGAAGACAAAAGCTAAATCATGTCTGTTGGCTGGTGTTTCATAAATAATCTTCACCAGAATCATGACGTTAAAGTCACGCAAATAAATTTGAGATTATTTGAAAGATAAATATGAAGGGGATGAGAAAATTCGAGGTATAAAAATTTTAAACTTGATAAGAGAATTTAAGATACAAAAGATGCAAGAGTATGAGACAATTAATGAATACTCAAACAAATTGTTGGGTATTGCTAACAAAATAAATTATTAGGCAAGAAATTTTCTGATTCCAGAATAGTTGAAAAATTTCTGGTAAATGTGCCAGAGAGATACGGAGCATCTATTGCTTCATTGAAAAATACAAATGATTTATCTAATATTACTTTGGTAGAAGTGTTACATGCTTTACAAACGCAACAAAGATTGATGAGAGGAGATCATGCTGCTGGTGAATGTTCTTTACTATATCATGGTGAAAGTTTTCTCCAAGGAAAGAACAATTCACAAGTCTTTTCTGTTTGTCCTTATTGCAAGAAAAATAATCACACACCAAAAAAGTGTTGATGGAGGCCTGATGTGAAATGTTGCAAATGTGGTTAATTGAGACATATAGAAAAGATATGCAAATCACAACTACGCAAAAAGTATTGATAGAGACCTGATGTGAAATGTCGTAAATGTGGTCAATTGAAACATATAAAAAAGATATGCAAATCACAACCACAAAAAGTGTTGGTAGATGCTTGATGTGAAATGTCGTAAATGTGATTAATTGGGACATATAGAAAAGAAGCACGTTATAGAGGATGGAGTAGAAGGGGACTTCTCCTTGCATCAACATGCTCTACAATCAACAAATTCACAGATTGACTTATAGACAGTGGTTGTACAAACCACATGACTCATGATCGAAAACTTTTCAAAGAGTTCAACGAATCACATATTAGAATCAAAGTAATTCGAGTATCAAATTAATTTTTGATCTTTTATATGTTCTTGATATTAATAATAATTTGTTAAGTATTGCTCAATTATTGGAGAAAAGTTATAAGGTGTCTTTTGAACACAAACTTTGTGTTATTAAAGATACAAATAACTCGAAATATTCAAAGTTCACACTTTGATCAAAGAAAATGAGGTTGAATGAAAATGTAATCTTATACAAAAAAAGAAGATGACAAAAAGTAAAAATAAAAAGGAGGAAAAACTCTAAGCAAAGGAATGTTGGGAATATTACTTTATTATCTTTTATTTAAATTAGGTATTAAGAGATTTTATTATCTTTTAAGAAAAAAGATAAAAATATATTAGATTATTATTTTGATTTAGACAATTATGATTAAGATATTATTGATATTTGATATTTTGTAATATTTTTACTCTATGCCTATAGAGTACATAAATAAAAAAATATACATAATCATATATAGAAATCCAGATACACAATTAGTATATTTTTTAACTCTATCATATGTGGCTATGAATGTTTCTCTTTACTTAAATTAGTGTATTTTAACATATTTTATGTTAATACTATATGACTTTATTTTTTTTTATTGAAAATTAGAATTATGGTTATTTTTTATCGGTAATCATAATACATAATTATTTTACAAAAAAAAAATGCTGGGAGGTTTTTTGAAAAATGATTTAGAAGCATAAGATCTATAATCAGACACGCTAAGTTAGTTTCATGTGATAAACGTTATTTTATAATTTTCTTTCACTTGTTGTATATTTTGTTTTAATTATGAGAAAAATTTTCTTATGTAATATTTGGTTCCCTAAAATTTATTTAGTTGATTCTAAAAATATTTTAACTTTTGCTGAAAAAAATGTATCTTATATTACTATCTACATATGTAGGTTAACTCATGAAGCTTGTAACGACCCTAGAAATCGCTACTATAATGATGTCTTCGCAAAGTAGTAAACAAGTAAATAACAATATCTATTTTACATTATATTACTGTATTTGTAACGTATATTGAAATTCCGAGTTCACTAACGAACTTCAAAATATAGTAACATAATTTATATATATATTATACATATAAGAGTAGCTCCCTCGAAGCTATCTCATTGAACTATCCCTGTCTGTCCAGTAGTCTCATCACCATCTCTCAACTCCCGATCTGCTCCCACATAAAAGTGATCATCGCAGTCCCATCCACATGGAAAAATAGGGGTAAGTATTAAATCATTCGATATAATAAAACAGATATAGAAGTAATAATTATATATTATGATCAATTACGAAATTATCAACACACTAAGACACCTTCCGGAAGTATACCCTAACTATGCCCGAACTCGGAGG